CAATGCTTGGCCTGCCACTCCATAATAATAACACTGCTAATTCGCCTTCTCTCTCAAAGCNAATTTGATTGGCTGAGTAGCGTCACCTCCTTAAAACATTAAATAATAACTTTTTTAAACCTTTTTATCTTTATTGGGCAGACCGGGACTAAAAATCAGCCCTGGAGTCTCACCCAGCCCAGCCCACACAAATTGGAGCACGCTAGTGAACTGACAACGGTGGGGGGGGTGCTCGTCAGCTCGTGGCGACAGAAAAAAATAAACTAGAAAAATCAAAGGCCGGTGCCGGTGATGACTGGCCATTCTGTGTTTATCCAGAACACACAGATGGCCAGTCTGCCCCTGGGTGGAGGTGAAGGAAATGAGCACTTTTACAGCCTTTTTGGCGAGGTGGGGGAACTCGGTCTCCACAGACAGCCAAAAGTGTGCAAGTGACACTTTACTCGTCTTTTTCTTGTTATTGTTTTCTCACGCTGCACCTCCCCTGAAGCTCTCTGGCTCTCTCCCCCCCAGGGAGGCACGCCTCACACTTTGAAAACCGCTGTCCTAATCAATATAACCGGCCTGCTCTCGTCTATCCTACATGCTCCACTGTGATCCAACATCTAGTTACAGGTGGCCTGTGGAAATGCCAGTCAGCTGTCCCTAAGGCTGACTTCATCTTGGGCTACGCTTCCCTGCAGTCTCTGGATTTCCTTGCTCTCACTGAGACCTGGATTACTCCATCCAACACCCCAGCAGCTCTCTCCATATTCCTTCTCCCATACACCCAGACCCACTGGCAGAGGAGGCGGCACTGGTCTCCTGCTCTCTCCCAAATGGAGCTTTTCCATCTTCAAGCTAGGTAGCTTGAAGATGGAAAAGCTCCATTTGGGAGAGAGCAGGAGACCAGTGCCGCCTCCTCTGCCAGTGGGTCTGGGTGTATGGGAGAAGGAATATGGAGAGANATGACTGGACCTGGTTTGGTGTGCCAACTAAAATAGCCTTCTGTTTTGGAGCTATTTAGCTACAGGAATGTGTTGTTTGCATCAAGCTTTATCTTCTCTCAATGCAGGGTGTTAAAGGATGTTGATGGAAACGGTGATGAATGAATGGTGACAGTGAGGAAGCATGTGGGATAGGTTCTATCTTTATATATAGCTGCGTGCATCAGCGTAGCAATGGAATGATATTCCAATGCTGGCTGATGACACGGCCAAGGGGCAAGAGTGTACAGGGTGAACAGAGTGGGCCCGAGGACCGACCCTTGAGGGACACCACGGGTGACAGGGTGTGTCTGGGACCTCGCACCTCCCCAAGGAGACGTATCTGTTCTTCAGACAGGTAGGAAACTGGAACCAGCTCAGGGCGGAGTCAGAGAGTCCCGATGGTGTAATTGGGAGGCGCTGACCAGTGTCCAGCCGCCATCAGACAGGTTCGTTTGTGACCCTGACCAGAGCTGTTTCAGTGCTGTGGGCGGACGGAAACCGGACTTGAATTTCTCAAGCTGAAGCTTGGGCGGAATTTCTCAAACAGCGAAGCTGGGCGGCAACTACAATGATTGTCTTACCCTAAGCATTTGGACTGATGTTCACAAACTTGGATAACCTGAGGTTCATAATTGCATCAACAACAGCAGAAAATCTGCTGGCACCACAGAGGATGCATTTCCACAACATGTAACAAAGAGAAATGTTTCAGACAGCGATATGGGTGTCCCAGCCCGAACCAAACCTTGTTTATGGAGTCCTGTTGGCAAGGGGGTGGATTGTTCAGGAGGTGGGGCCCATTCAACCAGTGCAATTTACAAAAACCCCCAGCACTACAGAAGTTGAGAGACATTACCACTAGTATTGCGCAAGATGCAAAGTGTTGGAGAGAGTGGAAATTGCCAGTTGCCTCTGTTTGGCCTTCCCTGTACGGGGTTCTGCATCTGCTGTGCAGAATTTCAAAATATGTGCCCGCTAACGTTTCTGAAGGAACCTGACATTTAACATTATATTTCTAGTATCTATATACTTGACAGTCTCACAGAATTATTATGATGAATTGTATACTGTACTTTGAATTAAGGTTCCAGTTTCAATAAAACCTGTACTATTTACACCTATGTTTTAGAGGCTTGCAATTTAGAACTAATACACTTGATTGTATTGGGTTACTCTCATTCTGACTATTTGGTGATGTAGTTCAGCCACCTGGTATTTCCCTCTCCAAATAGAATGACCATCAGAGTGAGCATTCTTAACTTATAAGCTATTGTGCCACTTATCCCTCATTCTGAATTTGACTGTCTCAGAGAAGAGGTAGGCCTATGTCTAAAGAAATCTCATTTACAATAGAACTGTACCAAATAATTCAGTAATGGTATATTTTTTAGGGATTTCTGTTTTTCTGATAAATGAGAGAAAAGTGATGGAGTCCTATGTTCCTATCACCAAAAAGTACAATTTCCGTCTAAACTAAAGCTAAGTTTACAGGACTATAATTTTTTATTATTTTTTTAGGTAAATAATTGTCTGACTATTTGGTGATGTAGGACAGCCACCTGGTTCATACCTCAGCAAATCTAAAGAGGATAAGAGAGGTCATTCTCAAGTTATGGGCCTTTTTGTCACCTTTCCCATATTCGGCCTGGTCTAATTTGGCTCTTTTTCAGGGATTAGGGTAGTTCTAAAGAACAACCCAAAAAACATTTTTTCCCCCAAAATAAAATTTGACAACAATCAATTTCATTAATGGGAGACCCTAAAGATAATAAAAGTCATTGTTGTCATTTGTTCTACCTCGGGTAGGGGTATCTCGAAAACTAAAGCCTTTTTTGAGGACTTGCTGCTGGACTATAAATAGAGATTCACTTTAGCACGTTGGCATCACACGGTAATGTCATTTTAGTAAATAATCGAGTAATGTAATTTTCTGTTATAAACAGAATGATTCATACTCAAGATATTAACGACATGTATTATAAAATAAAAAATCTTTGCAGAACACTAAGAATGTGTAAAGATGTGTCTGGTTGGCTCCTCCTGCTCTGAGCCAACATGTGATCATGCATGTGTATCTGTTAAAAAGTGAAGTCTTTGCTTTAAGTCGCTTGATTAAAACGTCTTAATTTCAACCTTCAGTATCGCACTTTTTCTCTCTTAATTGACGTCATTCTTAAAAGTTCAAAATTGAGCCATGAGCATTCATTAATCCATGTTAAAAATCGTAGAATGGATACAGTATAAATTGTATTATAACAAAATGTTATTTAAATATCCTTTTTTCCCCCTAATGGCCTAAACATCCCACTTTATAAGTAGTTCAAACAATACATGAAGCACTCATAAATGGTTAGTAATTAGCTGATTATGTTTTAGTGCACGAGTACTAATTTGACTAAAGTCTGTTTTCTCTGCTCTTTCTTACAAGCGGTCACTTCGTACATACTTCTTAAAATTATTTTTATTTGTAGATTTTTTTATAAATTAATTATGTTTATTTTTCATACACAAACACAGCAAAACAAATGTATTTGAAAACCTGCTTGTTAATAACATTGATTCTGACTCTGACATTGGGTCAGGCAGTACCTTACAGTGACCACTGGGGGGCGCTGTGCCCCCGGATTTGAGTCAGCCGTCAGTGAATACAGTATGTAAATGACCTGGGTTCATTTTGATTGGCAGACTAAAATGGATCCTTCAGACTGACGTGGCATGGAGGCTCAGAGACTCCATCCTTTGTCTCACGGTCGGCAGTTACATGAAGGAGCCGTGAAAAGAACACATTTAACTATCATTCTCACAGGAGTCTTCCTCTATCATGCACCCTTTTCCCATCATCCCTCTCTCTCCCCCTCAATGTCTTTAGCCTAAGGTCCTCTCCACATTTGAGTCACCTCCATTTCACAGCTTCTTACAACAGTGCTGTTCATTGTTGCAACACTGTCTTCTTATTTGAACTTCACACTGGGAGTGCTTTGTGTCTGTGGCACTGTGGGTATCCTACAGGCAAACAATATGGCAGGTTCCCTCAAACTGATAAACCCATTTTTACCCCTAAAGGTCATTTAACATGGTCAGTTCATTACATACAATAACTATATTTCTATACATCTCTCTGCATTGTGGTTTAAATGTTGTTTCAAATCCCTTTTTCCACTGCCATATCATTTGATTGAAGATATTCAATCCCTCTAATTTGATAACATAACCATTAGTTTCCTGTCATATTGTTAAGATATTGAGTCTTAAGTCGTCTGTAATTCAATAGAAGTGATACAGCCTTTGTCTGACTCTAAATATGAGTTCTTAGAAGAAGATATTGACCTCAATGACACTAACCTG